AGCCCATGGGAGCCCTGCTTAGTTGAGTCAGTGGGCTGTGTTCTACTGGTGCCCTCCATCCCCTCTGCCTCCTACAATCTTTCCTCCCTATCTTCTGTGGGATTCCCTGAGCTCTGAGGGGATGGACCAGATGGAAACATCCAATTTATACTCTCTCTACACATAATGTCTGACTGTGGGTCTGCATCTGCTCCTATCTGATACTGGAGGCAGCCTCTCTGAACATGACTGGACAAAGCACTGATCTGTGACTATAGCAGAATATCATATGGAGTCATTTCTTTTCTTTTCTTTCTTTTTTTAAAAGACCAGTCATGTTTGGTTTTACCCTAGGTCTTTGAACTATACATTCTCTGGTTCCTGGTTATCCAAGCAGTGTTGGACATGGGCTCCCTCTTGTGGAGTGGGACTTGAGTTAAATCAGACATAGTTTGGCTACTCCCACAAGTTCTGTGGCATATCTGACAGATAGGAAATATTGTTGACTAAGGGTTTTGTGGTTGGGTTTGTATCCACATTTCTCCTTTGGTATCTGGCAGAGTATCTTCATGCACCAAAGAGACTAGAACATAGGGGTGAAAGATCCATGTGGGCACCAGGTCAATCTCTTAGAATCAGTAATCATTGATATCTCTCAATATCAGAGGTCTCAATTCCCCAATAAAAAGAAGCAGACTAACAGAATAGATATGAAAACATGATTCATCCTTCTATTGCATCCAAGGAACACACTTTAACATCAATAACAGACATTACTTCAGGGTAAAAAGTTGGAAAAACAATGTTCTAAGCAAATGAACCTAATAAGCAAGCTTGTACAGCCATTTTAATATCTAGCAAAAGGGACTTCAAACCAAAACTGATCAAGAGAGATAGGGAAGGGCACTATATACTCATCAAAGGAAAAATCCACCAAGATGAAATTTCAGTTCTTAACATTTGTGCTCTAAACACAAGAGAACCCCCTTTTGCAAAAGAAATATTACTACAGCTTAAATCGCATATTGATTCTTACACACTGATAGTGGGAGCCTCAGTACCCTGCTCTCATCAATGGTCAGGTAAGCCAGAGAAATACTGGGCTGACAGATGTTATAAAACAGATGGACCCAACATATTCACAGAACTTTTCTTTCAAACACAAAAGAATATATCTTCTCTGCTCCTTAGAGAACTTTCTATAAAATTGACCACACATTCAGACACAAAGAAAGTCTGAACAAATAAAACTGAAATAACTCCTTGCATCTTATCAGACCACCAACCATAGATTAAAGCTGGATATTAACAACAACAGAAACAACAGAAAGCTTATAAACTCATGGAAAATGAACAACCCTCTACTGAATGAAAAATGGGTCAAGACAAAAATAAGAAAGAAATGAAAGACTTTCTAGAATTCAATGAAATGAATACATAGCATACCCAAACTTATGGGACACAATGAAAGCAGTACGAAGGTGAAAGTTCATAGCACTAAGTGCCTACAAAAAACTGGAGATCTCATAATAGCAACTTAACAGCACATCTTTTCAGATGTGTTCTAGGATGGAAAGAGGTAAGCATACCCAAGAGGAGTAGATTGCAAGAATAATCAAACTGAGGGCTGAAATCAACAAAGTAGAAACAGAACAATAGGAAGAATCAGGGAAACAAAGAGTTAGTTCTTTAAGAAAATCAACAAAATAGACAAACCCTTATCCAAACGAACCAAAAGGAAGAAAGAGAATATCCAAATTAACAAAATGAGAAATGAAAAGTGGAACATAACAACAGACATCAAGGAAATCCACAAAATCATAAGGATATACTTTTAAAACCTGTACTTGACCAAATTGGATATCCTAAAAAAAATGGATAATTTTCTTGATAGATAGCAGTTACCAAAATTAAGTGAAGATCAGATAAACAATTTAAATAAACCCATAATTCCCAGTGAAGTATAAGCAGAAACTAAAAGTCTTCTTAACAAAAAAAGCCCAGGGTTTTATCACAGAATTCTACCTGATTTTCAAAGAAGAGAAAATAATCCATATTTATCACCCTTCACAAAACTCAAGTCCAGTTGGATTGAAGACCCCAACTTAAACCAGACACTGAACCTTATAGAAGAGAAAGTGGGAAGTAGCTTTGAATGCAAGGGCAGAGGAGACCAATTACTAAATATAGCACCAGTAGCACAGACACTGAGAGAAACAATAAATGAACCCTCCTGAAACTGAGAAGTAAATCAAAGGACACAGTCACTAAGACAAAATGGCAGCCTACAGAATGGGAAAATATCTTCACTTGCCCCACATCAGTCAGAGGACTGATTTCCAAAATATATAAAGAACTTAAGAAACTAGACATCAAATTACCAAATAATCCAATCAAAAAAAATGGGAAACAGATCTAAACAGAGAATTCTCAACAACTGCAAATGGCTTAAAGACACTTAAGGAATTGTTCAACATCATTAGCCATCAGGGAAATGGAAATCAAAACAACCCTGAGATACCATTTTATACCTGTAAGAATGACTAAGATCAAAACACCAATGATAGCTTATGCTGGAGAGGATACAAAGTAAGGGGAACACTCCTCCATTGCTGGGGGGAGTGCAAACTTGTACACCACTTTGGAAATCAGAATGGCAGTTTCTTAGAAAATTAGAAGTCAATCTACCTCAAGACCCATCAATACCACTCTTGGGCATATACCCAAAGGATGCACGCTCATACCACAAGGACATTTGTTCCACTATGTCCATAGCAGCATTATTCATAATAGCCAGAACCTAGAAACTGCCTAGATGCCCCTCAACCAAAGAATGGCTAAATAAAATGTGGTACATTTACACAATGGAGTACTAGTCAGTGGTAAAAAACAGTGACATCTTGAAATTTGCATGCAAATGGATGGAGCTAGAAAAAAAAAACATCCTGAGTGAGGTAATCCAGACCCAGATAGACAAACTTGGTATGTGTTCACTCATAAGTGGATACTATCTGTAAAACAAAGGATATTGAGCCTATAGTTCATGATCCTATATAAGCTAAGTAACAAGGTGAACCCTAAGAAAAACATACTTAGATCCACCTTGAAAGGAGAAACAGACCAGATATCCTGAGAAAATTGGGAGTAGTGGAGGGAGAAGGAAGGGTGGATGAGAACATGAGGGAATGGGAAGCTCAAGGAGGGGAAAGGACAGTGAGGGAGAGAAAGGAAAGAGATATCTTGATTGAGGGAGCAATTAAAGGACTAGTGAGAAAAATGACACTAGGGAAATTCCCAAGAATCCACAAGGATGACCCCAGCTAAGACTCTAAGCAACAGTAGAGAGTGTGCTTAAACTGGCCTTCCCCTGTAATCAGAATAATGACTGTCTTAATTGTTATCCTAGAATTTTCAACTAGCAACCAATGGAAGCAGTTACAGAGATCTACAGTGAAGCACTGGGCTGAGCTGCAGGAGACCAGTGCAAGAGAGAGGAGCAATAATATGAGCAAAGCAATGAAACTGCCATCTGTACAAAGGACTGAGATTACTGGAGCTTCACAGTGCTTCCTTTGCTAGAGTTCAGTTAACTGGATATACAAATAGAAATACTTACTATTAGTGCCAAAGCAGAAAGTGCACTTGAACCCCTGCCATGTATAAGTGAACCCAGATTTGAGACAAGCATGCAGTGGACAGTCTGGACTTTAGAAAGCTTCTGCCTTGTACCCTTTTCCCAGATTATAAAGTGAAAGTTCATGAATTCCCACCACAGAGCATACACCTGCAATTCCTCAAATGCTAGCTTGGATTCCAAGTTTGGAATGATGGCAATACTGACAAAAGAACTATTGGAAAAAACAGGAAGACATGGTCACTACTTTCAGTGTCTGGATCAACCAGCCCAGTTCTTCATCCTTGAAATGAAAGAAAAGGAAGGTTGCTAACATTGCCTCAGACTGACTGACAGAATAACCATGTAGCAAACTCAAAACCTACCACCTGCACCCGAACTTCTATTACAGAATGATTTGATTCAGGAGGAACTTCTATTTTCATTTTTTCTTCTTTTTTCTTTTCCTTTCCTTTCCTTTTCTTTTTTCTCCTTCCCTCCCTCTCTTCCTCCCTCCCTCCCTCCCTTCCTCCCTCCCTTCTTCCCTCCCTTCTTTCCTCTTTCATGTACCTCTGTGTGCACATGCTTAGGGAGACCAGAGGTTGATGTCCGGTATCTTCCTTTATTGCTCTCCACATTATTTACTGAGGCAGGGTCTTTTGCTGACTAGTCTAGTTAGCTACCTTGTCCAGAGGATCCTCTGTCTCTGCTTCCAAAACACTGGGATGGTATTTGGGCCACCCCCTCTCCAACTTTAAAGTTTGGGATCCAAATTTCAGTTTTGACACTACAAATTCCTTATCTATGGATCCATTTGCCCAGACCCTGCGGGAGGATTTTTGTTTGTTTGTTTTTGTTTTTTAGTTGTTTGAGATAGGATTTCTCTGTGTAACGCTTGCTGTTTTGGAACTTGCTCTTTAGACTAGGCTGGCCTCAGACTAGAGATATTCCTGGTTCTGCCTCCTGAGCACCGGGATTAAGGGTGTGAGTGGGGAAAATCTTAATAGATGTGCTGTTCACACATCTGAGCTCTCTCTACTTCTGATGGGTTTCAGTCTCCATCCACTCTCCGCCAAGCAAGTTCATAGGCCATATTACTATATACTACTGGGACTAGTTTAATAGGCAAGAATTAAAAACAAGGTATTGAAAAGAAGATTGGTAATTGCTTTGCCCCAGCTCCTATTTTCCTACTAATTTAGCCTAAAATGTAAAAACTCAATTAGCTTGATATAGAGGCATAATACTACACACAATAAAATGTTTTATTTATAGATTGTGGTTATATTAAAGCTTAAAAACACTGATAGATTATTATCAAAGCTATCACAAATGGTTATAGTATATTAAAATACAATTAAAACATGAAAATATATAAAATATATAAACTTTATGTTGCCATGGTGAGTCAACGGTGAAAGGATGAATGAAAAGGTCTTTGACGAGAATGATTTCTTGCTCCATAAAAGGGTGTTGACTGTGGAAAGAAAAGTTCAGCAACTGGTATTTACTATCTTGAGATACCAAGGCTCAAGAATATTTTTATTTCATTATTAGAACATTTTTACCTTATTTCATTTTCTAATAGAGTAACAGTAATAGCAATATTGATTTCTTAATATATTTTAATCACTGTTCTAAAAATTCTTTATGCAACAAACATATATGTTTGTGACTGTGACCAAGGACTTGGGAGAGGGGAGAACATGATCAAAATATATTTACATTTAAAAGTTGTTTAAGATAATAAAAAACAAAATACATAAAAATAAAACAATTAAGTGGAGGTAGCCTAACAGTAGATCTTCACCTTCCCTCCTTGTCTCCAAATCCAGCTCCCCAGTCTCACCCCTACCTCTGCAGCAGACCATGTGCAGCAGCCTCCCCCCTCCCTGCTCCCATCTCTAAGGGTTTATACAGATCTCTTCCAGCCTGTCTCCCCACTAATCCCATTATTCCAGCCCCCAACTCCAGCAGGCATTCCCCGGGACTCCATCAGCCAAGGCTACCACAGAAACAAGTAGGTCAGCTAAGCAGATAGGTGAGCTAGAGACAGATCTTCACTCTCCCTCTTTTCCAAGTCCAGTGTCCCAAGTGTCATCCTCAGCTTGGTACAGAAACTTCCTAAAATATGTACATATATGAAGGTTATCTAAGTGAAACCCCCAAACAGAGATACAGACCTCTAAATGGACATCTCTTGCACCAAATGAAGCTTCCAGGACCGGGAATGGGTTACATCTCATTGAGTTGTTGGATAAAAGGGTCTCATAGGAACTCTCAAGAATCCAGGCTATTGACAAGGCTATTAGTTGTTCTCTGCACACTGATATCATTGCCCCAGTGCTGAAGACAATACTTCTATAACTCACTGAACATGGAGAAGTTAAGCTGGTACCTACCTAGAACTTCACTCTAAGGGATAACTGTTCTTGGTACTGGAAGGCACTCTGTACACGACCAAAGAGAAAGGGAAACACCAGCCCAGCTACAAATGCTTGGATCTACAGTTGTATCCTGTCTGCAAGATATGCTAGTGCAAGGTTGGCACAGGCTTGTGGGAGTAATCCACCAACATCTGATTTTACTTAAGGCCCACTCCTTGAGATGGGACCCATGTCATTGCTGCTTTGGTGACAAAGAAACCTGAGACTAGATAGCCCAAAGACCTAGGGTTAAACCAAATACTACTGTTCTACTAAAGGAACCTAACAATAAAATGAGACCTTTTATACCCATAGATCAGTGCCTTTCTCAGCCATCATCAGAGAAGTTTCTCCCTGCTTCAGATGGGAACTAATACAGAAGCCCACAGACAGATAATATGCAGAGGGGACATTCCCTCTTCAATGAAATGTCTCCATCTAATCCTTCCCTAGTAGGGTCCCTACTAGCCTGCAAGGATTGGGGTCCTAGATCTAAAAGAAGAAGTGGACACATGCCCTAAGAACCTGAGTCCAACCAATAATCACATGGAAATGAAAATTTAGTTTTCTCTATGGGAGTCTCGCTGGGGAAACAAATTATTCTTAAGGGTAGGCTGCATTCCCAGCAGTAGATAGGCCATGGGAAATGAACCCAACTGCTTCCTTGGAGGTTCCTGACATATAATGTTGTGTCAGGGATTTCTCTTTCTCTCTTTAAATTTTTATTTATTTTTTTATTTTATTCCCCCATCTCTCTTTGCCCTATAGACTCTTTGAGTATACATTATGGCTTCCAGCTTTTTGTGTTTATGGGTTTCCTGTGTGTGTCAATTTGTCAGTCTCTGTATCTATATCTGTATTTTTTCCTCCGGTTCTTTTCCTTCTGTTTGTTTTGTCCTATTCTGATGTGTTTTTATTTTATTTTATTATTCTGTAAAAGCCTTTTTGTTTTACAATGAGACAGAAAGGTTGTGGATCTAGATGTGAGGGATGGTGGGGAGGAGCTGGGAGGAGCAGAGGGAGGGGAGAAAAAACTATGTTCAATAAAAGAAAAATATTGTTCTTTGCCAAATGTATACATTTACATAATATATTTTGTTCCTTTTACCCATTAATCTCTTTGATCTTTCAGGGAACCACCTCTTTTGCTACTCAAGTCCTCCTGCTATTTGCATATCTTTAAAAACTATTGTTTGAATGTTGTATGTTTCTGTCTCTCTGTCTCTCTGTCTCTGTCTCTGTCTCTGTCTCTCTCTCTCTCTCTCTCTCTCTGTGTGTGTGTGTGTGTATGTGTGTGTGTGTGTGTGTGTGTGTGTGTGTGTGTGAGAGAGAGAGAGAGAGAGAGAGAGAGAGAGAGAGAGAGGGAGAGAGAGATTCCATAATTCAAGAATTTTTTGTTTTTAAAGTTGAGCACTCTCCGAGCTGGAGCCAACTAACTTTAGGGCTCCAAAATAGGAACAGTATGGCATGTAATCAATTTTTTATGAGTAGCAGCTACATAAATTTCATTTTCTAAAGGCTGAAAACAGTTCTCAAAGGGATCTTGAATATATTTGACCCAGTGGTAAATATATTTGAATATATTTACCCAGTGGTAAATCATAAACATTTTGTTTATATATTTTTCTTTTCAGAGCCACCTTAAGCTTAAGACATTTGGTCTTTTTGTGAAAAGATGTGAATAAAATGTTCCAAATTGGTAAATTCAGCACTTTTCTGTCCCTGCTCCCATTACAGATATTCACATTGGATTCAGATATTTAGTTCCAAAGACTGCAATGCAAAATATTACCGTCAAGTAAACACATCCAAGAATGAAGAGAGGATGGTAAGGCCGGGGCCTTATTGCAGCCTCTCATCAAGTTGTACAGTGACTGTGTATGACCATCTCCACTGAGCACGTGGTCGAGATAACTATAGGATCTCCCCCAAACAAATACTAAATGTAATGGATAATTTTTGCTTTTGATATAATCTGTGAATGTTTGCATATTAAATATTTGCCCTTGCAGGAGTCCTTACCCAGTTATCTTGTAAGTGGAGATAGTTACAAGAAGTGCAGATTATCTGCCTTTTCAGGAACCAGACTTGAGCAGGAAGGGGCATTTCTAGGTCATCCATGGCATAAGAACTTCCAAAGGAAAAACAAAGCAATGAAAACAGGAGTTAGAAAGCAGTGCAGAGGCCTAAAGGTCACTATTCCTGGGCTTTACGTCCAGCCTCAACACAGCAGTTTAGTGATCCAGTCTCCTTGGCATAAAAACATAATAGATTTAACAGTCTGCTAAGAAACTACAGTTTTGATAGCTTTAAGATGACTGTGTTATTATTGTTCAACAGTCTCAGACCTCCACTGAGGGCTATTAAGTCTATGGATACTGAGATTCTCAGTTAAGAAAAATCTCTTCCAGAAAATACTGTGTTGGAGTAATGGGCTGAAGGGAAGATGTTCCTAAAATCTCTCCGAGTTGAATTAGCAGGTTACCAGGAGCTAATGATGTCTGATTACTTTTTTAAGGATTTTATTTGATTATAAATTACATATATATGTGTGTGTGTGTGTGTGTGTCTGTGTGTGTGTGTATGTCTGTGTGTGTGCCTGTGTGTGTGTGTACACAAGTACAGTGCCCACAGATTCCATAAGAGGGCGAGAGATTCCCCTGGAGCTGGAGCTAAGGCTTTGTTCTGAACTGACAGATGCGGGTGCTAACCAAACTCAGGTCCTGTGGAAGAGCAGTCAGTGCTCTTACCCACTGAGCCATCTAGCCCCAGAATGGTATCCTTTCAGAATGTCAGTGGGTCATCTTGGAAGCTGACTTCCACAAACTTCTTAACCAGCACAATGCACTAAAGCTTAGTTAAGAAAACAGTGTTTTCTGCTCATTATGTCAAATTAAATCTGGGACTTTCTGGCTCAGTGAATCTAGAAAATCATTTAATATGTTTGTATCTAAGTTTCTGTCATTAAGTTGGCCTGGTATTCATGCTGTACACACAGAGTTGATAGTAAGGATTCAAGTGCCCTGGGCTCACAGACGCTATGAGTGGTACACAGTGGCTCAGTGGTTATTGTCATTAGAAAGGACTGAGTCCTATTCTTACCCAAATGCTGATGCCATACACAATCTATGTTTTGGAAATTTTCTAAATTTTTTTGTTTTATTTAATTCCAAATTACTTCTGGAGTTAGAAACTTACTATTTGAACCAGTAGGCTGTTTTTGTTTTTAAAGCTTTATCTTTTATGTCATTTATTGCTGAATTATTTTAAAACTTAGAAGGTAGAATTAATTTTCATTTGACTTTCTGAACCCTAATCTTCTAGTAACCTAGAGTTTCAGTCTCTTCTCTCTCCCACTTTCTCCCTCCTTCCGCCACCCCCACCTCTATTTCGCAGTACTTGGGGATTCATTTCAGGGCATTGTGATTGTTAGGTAAGTACTCTACCACTGAGCTCTGTCCTCGGCCCTCATTTGTATTGAGATGGTCCAGTTTTTATAGTTGGCCTTAAACTCACGGAGTAGCGTTAGGCAGGTCTTTAACTTACAGTCTGTCTTCCTTATCCTCCTGAGTAGCTGGTTTTACATGACTGCCATGAGACCCAGCTAGGGTCTTTTGGGTTGTTCAGAAGGCCAAAGCCAATCCGTGTACTTAAGAAATTTCCACAGATACCGTGTGTCAGTATTGGTGTGATGCACTTGGCCTGGCAACATGTCCTTCATTGTGGGGAGTAGAAAGGATGAACAGCCAAGACCCACTCATGGCTTTGTAACTTGTTTCACTTTCTTGGCCTAAAGTTTGGCCTCTGGTAGGGGCTGCAATAAAGTTAAGATGGATTGACATGCTGTAGACACACAACTACAAAACTCAGGATCTCATGAGGGATCTCTGAAAACTCCCTCCCGATAAAGAAAAAGAAAACTAAACAAAACAAAAAAAAAGAAGTTATGAGTTTCAAGGTTTGTGGACAAGCAATGATCCATTTTAGCCAAGAGCTGTTGGAATTTAATCAACGAGCGTGTGTTTTGTACTGACCTGGGAACCACACACTGCAGCGGAAGCTCAGCAGAAATATGTAAATTCTTGGGTTTATAGGTGAGCCAGGAATAAAAGATAGTTCTATCAACTACTGTCTGTTGAGATAAAAGATATGGTTTGTCACAACACATTTTTATATATTCAAATAAGAAATTGAAGGATAAATCATTTGCCACTCTACCACCCCAAGAAATAAAGAAATGCAACTGAATTAATGTGCTTAACGTTCTCTCTGCCATCAGAGGCACCGAAACAGGAAATACAGCAAAACACTTGACATATAATTTGTGAATGAGATTGCCAAGAGGCGGGTACATTATCCCTGGGGCTTTTCACTAGCCCTTTCAAATCAGAGTTCTAGGAAGCATTTCTTTCTTACTTAGATGGAAACGTGATCTGTGAGGATTTAAAAAATGAATAAACTATTTGAAGGAGTCTGAGAGACTCCTCCTGATACTTCCGACTTCAAACACAGTATTTGGCCTTTGCTTTGGATGTCCAAGTTTCTAAAATCTCATTAGAAGGAAGAGTGTTAACTAAAAACCAGTGTATTTGTATTGAACAACTGAATTTCCTAAGCATGAAATGCATATGCATTTCGTAATAAGTTACAAATCCTATGGTTTTACCATACTGGCTTCAAGTTCTGTAACAATTTGATCCTCCATTATCTATGCTTTTGGGATCATATTAGATATGATGTATTATCCCAGTTAATAATTCCAAATTCAATAACTTGTTGATAGTGGGATGGATTATTCATGTGGTTCCCAAGGTCTGAAAAATTTATTTCATTTAGCTTTCAAATCCAGAGGTCAGACAGACAGATACTCTTAAGACTATGAAGTGGCCTCATCACAATTGGCAGAGTTTAGGCTGCATCAATTGTAGAGGAAGTCTACCCAGAGAAAGGGGTAAGGGAAGAGGGTGGGAATAGGTATGTTGACCAGGGTTTCTCAGCTGACACTACACATGAGATTAGGTAGCTCTCTGTTATGTGTGGAGGGGGCTGTGCCTGCAGACGCTAGACACCTGTTCCTCTTCACCAGGTGCCAGTTGCACCCTCCTCTCTGGAAGAAGTCATTGACATTGTCTCCTCAAATGGCCCAATGTTCCCTATGGAGAGGCTCGCCCCCACTTGATAACTATGGACTTACACTTCTGTGAAGGGCTCTATATTTGACACTTGCTTTTAGCTGCTAAAAACCTCAAAATGCCTTTGGATTTCTTTTGATGGACATATGGGAACAAATCTGAGTGCCTGACGTCTTGCCGTGAGTAAGCACAGCTTGAGAAGTAGACGGAGGTAGGCGATCACGGCTCGAAACTACGAGGCAGAGAAGACTGAAGGCCCTTCATGTTAGTCTGTTCCAGTTAGCCCATGTTCATGACATGAAGTTCAGCTTCCTAGAAAATACTTATTTCAATGACTACAGCAATGCAAACTAAGGCAAGGTAAACGGAATCTTTTGTATTTCCCTTGGATGTGCTTGAACTTTCCTCCACCAAAGTTTACTTTCAGTTTTCCTTATAGACGCTGAAGTACTATTGCTTTCAGTGATATATACACACACAAACACACACACATAACACATGCATGTCTATTACTTAGAAGTGAACCAATTAAGTCTATTTCTAATTCAGGTTCAGACCACTCCAGACCATTCTTGCCTCTTTACTTCCTGGGGAAAGTTTTAATCAAAAGACCGAAACTCTGTGTTTGCTGATTTGGATGATTTGGATGCTGAGGCACTATTAGTTTAAGTCCTGGGCCCTGAGCACCACACTAAGAAGGAGCAGCACAGGAATACCCCCAGGAATAAGCTGGAGTTTAGCGATGGAGACAGCACAGTAGGATACTTCACTAGGGATGTCTTGTGTTTCTTTTATCATTGTTCATTTCATTCTGCTCACGCCAGAGTCGTCCTAGCACTAAGGCAATAGGCTTAGCGTAGGCATCAGCAAGCCTTGTCTCTGGCCCTTGCTCTGCTGGACACAAACCTCATGTATCTGGTTACATGGCTTTTACACTCAATTACGCATCTATATAAGTGGAAGCAGAATTGATCCTGTAGGATTAGGTGTGTAAAATGTCATGTGAAAATAATACATGTGCCATGCTGATAGAACATTAATTTATTTTGATAGAAAAATCTATATAGTGTTTTATTAATGCCAAGCATCTTGTACATATTATGTCTGGTGACTAAGTGGCAGTGACAAACACATTCTTCGTGTTCCTCTCAGGCTAAGGCACCCGGCTGGCAATACCAGTGCTACACACATTTAAGACAAGAGCGGGAAGTAACACTTGACCAGACTTTGCAGATGGCAGCAGGTAAAACGGTTCCTTCTCTTACCTCTATAACAATCCCACAGTTCTGGATAGGAATATTAAACTCAAATTCATCTGGTCGCACAAAAGTCACTCTGCAGTTCGTCCCTAGAAATAATTCATCAGGGCCTACACGCTCATATGGATAAAACAGCGCCCTTTTAGCTACAACACGAAGATTCAGATAATTGCACTCCACCAATACTGTCGGAAGAGAAGAACAGGCAGTCAGCTGCTGCACCTCAATACATGGCATGAAAGAAGACCTGGTTTAACCAAAACATGCAGAGGCTGGGAGTGTGGGCAAGGGCGATCCCTGTCATAATATGACTCTACTTCTCTTTTCTTCTCATTGACATCCCTCAAATGAAACAACTCGCAAAACCCCGAAAGCTCTGCCTGAGATTAACTGTGGTGGCTATTTGGAATGGAAGCAGAGGTATGTACTTTTATCAGGGTGCTGTATTGGGTACCAAGCTCCCCAATCCTTGGCATCTGTGAAACTTAAGCCGTGAGTGTGTGTGTACTCGCATGCTGGTCAGTGGTAGATGTTTGCCTTTCTCGGTTGTTCCTCACCTTGTTTTTTGAGACAGGTGTTCTCACTGAACCTGGAGCCTGCTAACTTTGCTAGCGTAGTTGGCCAACAAGCCTGGCAATCTGTCTGTCTACCTCCCTAGTGCTGGGATTAGTCTTTTCCATGGGTGCTGAAGAGCAGAGCGCAGATCTCCGTGCTCCCATGGAAAGCACTTGACTAACTGAGCCACCTCCATGGTCCACAGGTTTTCATCATCAGGTATGGCTGTGTGCCAGATAGCAGCAGCCATATGGTTTACATGGAGATCTAATCCTAAAGCTTGGGAGAAGAGTCCTTCTGGAGTGTGAATGAGCATTCTGTTCTCCAAGGCAATGGTATAGTGGGCCCAAAGAGCATAGTGTTTACTACCAGATCTCTGTGAATTGTTGGGCCTTGGAAGACTCACATCTTCTCCCCATTTAGCTGTCAGATACACAGAGGATTTGAAGTAACCCTCAGCATATACAAGTTCCATGTGGAATTTACGGTTTTTACTTCCCTCCCGCTGTGTTTCCTCATCCCAGTCACCTGCCCCACACCCGCCCACTGCTGAAGCCCAAAGGCCTTTGATATAGTCCCAGTTCCCACTTCCCTTCCTTCCCACAGTCTTCCACTGAGTCTTTTCACCTCCACTTTCAAAACTCATCTCCCATCTGCTTCTGTATGGCTGTACTGTGGATTCCATCACTGTCCCTTGTCCGGGTAACCTCAGCAGCCCCTTTCCCTTTCCTGGGCAAACTTGGCAGCCTTGTGGAGGAACTCACTGCCCCAGTGTCATTTTCTCATCCTTTGTGTGAGTGTGTGTGTGTGTGTGTGTGTGTGTGTGTGTGTGTGTGTGTGAGAGAGAGAGACAGGGTTTCTCTGTAGCTTTGGTACTTGTCCTGGAACTAGCTCTGTAGACCAGGCTGGCCTCAAACTCTTAGAGATCCTCCTGCCTCTGCCTCCCGAGTGCTGGGATTAAAAGTGTGCACCACCACCTGACTTCTTTCTTTCATTCTTGCAGCTGCTTTGTGTCAATGGAAGGTTCTCTTTCCCGCCATCTCAGAAACCTCCACTTCCCGGTTTAACCTTTTAACTTTCACATTATAGTTTTTCCTATTAAAGTAAATGTTTAGTTTATCTTGGTCATAGTTCATTATCTTGGACTATCAATTTGCGGTAGGCATTTTGCACAACTGTCCTTTTGTTTTATCTAATAGGGAGTGTTTCCTGCTCTCCCAACACCCTCTCTTCCTGTAGGCAGTGACAATAGTATTCCATGGTAACTGTGCTCCCTCCAAAAATTCCCTTTAGTCCTCCAAATACTAAACACATTATGCTTAGTACCTGTACTCATAATCAACTTTCCTTCTGAGACATTACAACAGTTTATATGAAAAACTCCCAAGTTAACCTCTGCCTCCTTTGAGCCCAGTCTTTAGTGGTCTGCAGGACTCGGAGGTATTTTAAGTGAGTTCTGACCCCCTCTGTCTTAGGGAATGCAACCCCATGCCAGGTGTCGTAATTATTAGGTTGTTAACTTTTCAGATGGGATAATAAAGCCCCGAAACCAAGAACCTCATAACTCATGGTCACTGAAGAACTACCCCGTGAAAGCATCACCAGAAATGGTCCACTCTGATACCTGGCTCTTGCCCAGAACACCTCCACATTCCAGATATGAGCAGCAGCAGCAGTCCTGATATAACAAAAGCCTTCATTATGCCAGACTTTGGGCTGAGACCTCTTCAGTTACCAGGTAGATGAGAAGAACTGGGAAGCCAGAAGTGTTTTTATGCCTGAGACTTGACTCAGATGAATTCAATGAACTCAATTCAGTGAGGATAAAAAAAAACAAACCTTTAATACCCCCAAAACTCCAACTCCTGAGCCTTTCTTTATCTATGGGCTATAGAAAATAGTGTTGGCTAAATGAATACAGCACACATTCTGGGGTGCTTTTGAACTGTCTATGTAGTACCTCAAAATGCTTGACTATGTGGCCAAATCTCTGGTTAGTCTTTAGTGTTCTATGAGTTGATTTAGGGATATCCCTGACTCTGACACAATGACATACTTTGTCACCGGTGGTTGAAGCCATCTTCCTAAGTTTGTGATACATATTTAGCTTAATTGGTGAATTCACTGGTTAGTTACTTCTTGGGTGGTATTGGGAGTTGACTTAGCAGAAGTTACTTACCATTAACAATCAGGAAGAAGAGGTCAACAGAGACCCTGATCTTGACCATTCCTAAACCAACCCTGAGAGAACCCAGTGCTCTTCAGTGATTTCATAATGCTCTTGCTAGAATGACATTAATGACATTAATATCTAAGCCATTATACCTTATTCCCTTGAAACTGAACATTTCTAGACCACCAGAGAGACTTTGATGTTCCAGGCACCATGGGATATCCTGGAAGAGTGGTGTGTATTTCCTGCAGAGTCAGTTTAATATGCCTATGATCTACATGTCTTACTTTTCTATTACTGTGATAAAACACCATGACCAAGGCAACTTATGAAACAAAGCATTTATTTGGGGCTTACCTCTCAGAGATGAAGACCATCACGGTGATGGGGTGCTTGGCAGCAGGCAGGCAGATACGGTGCAGTAGCTTAGAACTCTCATCTTGAGACACAACTATGAGGCAAAGGCATGAGAGAGAGAGAGAGAGAGAGAGAGAGAGAGAGAGAGAGAGAGAGAGAGAAACACTTGGAATGGTCTTTTGAAATTTTAAAGCCTGCCCCTAGTGACCACACCTTCAGTAAGGCCATAATTAATCCTCCCCAAACAGTTCTACCAACTGTTGAAATATATGACCCTCTGGAGGCCATTCCCATTCAAACCACAAAGGCCTTAAGTTTTCTTCAGGTTTATCAATAAAGATGTTTGTTAACTTCACCAGTAGCATTGCTTGTTTTCTACACTAGTATTTATTGCACAAGCTCAGGATGCTAGCGTTTTATTTTTGATATAACCAACAATAAAAAGTACATGTGGAATATCCTGGAAAGTCTATTAAGAGAAGTGCTTGATGACTTATCTGAAAAACAATTAAATACAAATGAAAAGGATATTGTAGTATAAAAGGGAAGTTTTGTGTATACCTAGAATAAAACTGTATTTCAAAATGCAACTTCCATCTCAAACCTTCTATAATAAGGGGTTCAGGTTTTTTCATTCAGTGGTAGTTTGAGAGACATCAGATAGATCTGAAAATGTTATTAATTTTTCACAATAACTTAAAAGTTAACCCAGGTATAGCAGACCTAACATCTGAGTGCTAAGTATGTTGAGGCAGAGAGGGACGGAGTCCTGTTAACCAGGTAGCTTTGAGAGACCCCAGGAGCCAGGTGTGGTGACACACACCTTTAATCCCAGAATTTAGGAAGTGGAAGTAGTCACATAAGGAGTTCCTCCCCAGCCAGGGCTACATAGAGAGATCCTGTCTCAACCCCTTGACCCCAAACAAAACCAAAGCAAAAAGAAAATTCATGAAATGAAACAAATTGTAACTACAAAGCTTATTAAAACCTAAAATGGGCATGGTGGCGCATGCCTTTAATTCCAGAGTGCTGGAAGCAGAGGCAGGCAGATCTCTGAGTTGGTGGCCAACCTGCTCTACAAAGCCAGTTCCAGGACACTCAAGGCTGTTACACAGAGAAACCCTGTCCCGAAAAACCATAAAACAGACAGACAACCAACCACAAACCTAAAGACCTACTTAATACATTCCTTAGTGATAGATATTGTAAGACTTTCTGTGTGCATGGAGTGTCCATGTGTATGTGTAGATACATATATGGCGTCTAATTGTATGTTGTGTGTACACGTGCACACAGAACTACACTGGAGACACAGCTTAATTTTGTCAGCTTTTATTATTTGTATGTCTGTGTTCTGCATTTCATTAGCGATGTCTACCGAGTCGGGGCCTGCAGGTATTTATTTGAGAGAGGGTACACTACCACTGGCGACATCACTGAAGAATATGGCTTTCCCTCCTCCAGCAACCATTAACTGCCTATTGCTTCTCAGGGAAGGGGGACTTGTGGAGCCTCTTTTTCATCCACAATGGTATATTGCGAGCCCTCTCTTATACAGTTTCTCCTGAGTGTAGACACTCCTACTGTAAGGTCATGACTGCAACAGCCATACCATGTCTGGAAGACATTTTACACCACCCCTCCCCATTCCCAGCTCTTACATTCTTTCTACCCCTCTTGTGTGACTATCCTTGAAAGACTGTACTGCTTGGGTTATTTCTAAGGAGATGCTCCTTGAGCCGTGAAGAAGGTGCCATAGGTGCCCGTTTAGGGCTAAGCTTCCACAGTCACTCGGTCTCAGCACATTGACTAGCTGTGAGCCTCCACATTGACCATTGCCCACCCACCGCCAACAGAGCTTCTCTGATGAAATCCAAGAGCAGCGCTAAACTATGGGCACAAATACTTAATGGCAGTTTAACACCATGTTCATTTAGTAAAATAAAAAAAAAACTCTGATTTTTTCCAAAAACTGTATATATTTTAAAGATATTATTTTTATTATCATATGTATATATTTTTTTTTGCCTGCATGTATTCTGTTAATGATGTTTGTGCCTGGTGTCTGTGAAAGTCACCACAAGAGAGTGTTGGGTCTCCTGGAGTTAAATATGGCTGGGATCCATCATGTGGTTGAGAATTGAACATAGGTCCTCTGAAAGAGCAGCTAGTGCTCTTAACCACTGAGTTATTTCTCTCACCCTCGTACCTTAAAAACTAAGAAGTAATAAAAATTTAAGCAGAAGGAAAATTAGAGATTGGTTGAATACAACTTTATTGTATTAATAAATAAAAACAGTAACAGTGATAAGAAAAAGAGAGAAGTAGGTCCTGGGGTACAAGACCCTATTGTCTAAAACGATGACATCTAGAGATGTGACATACAGTACTGAGACTATAGTTCATAGCACTGTGTTCCATACTGAACGATTGCTAATACACACACACACACACACACACACACACACACACGTGCGCACACACACAGCACCCCACACATAGGCATATTCTCTCTCTCTCTCTCTCTCTCTCTCTCTCTCTCTCTCTCTCTCTCACACACACACACACACACACACACACCATCCCACACATAGGCATATCTCTCTCGCATACACCACGCGGGGCACACCCTGTAGCTACAGGAGGAGAGGGATTTGTTGGTTCAATTGGCAGCAAGTACAAAGAGCTCATCATGCTGAAATATGTGCCCGTACTAGAAGTGGGTTGAAAATATTTGAGAAATTATTTTTTTCCAGTCCTGTGGACTGAACCCAGGACCTTGAGATGTCTAGGCAAGTGGTCTACCACTGAGTTCACTCTCAAACCTTAAGAAAAGGGCTGGGAAAAATTAATTTAAAAGAAAGAAATATAAAACTTTACTTTCCCCCAGATTCTTATTTGTGTTGTAAAGGGCTGTTTGAAGACACATTTTAAAATAAAGGACACATTTTTTTAATCAAAGACATTTTTAATAAGTTAATAAAGATTTTTAAATTACATAAAAATTATTTTGTGGTAAATAAGTAGTTACATTTCTTTCTACTGTTATATCTTTATCTCTTATTGTGCAACAGATTTGCTAAGCCCTGGAGATGAAAATATACATGGAATATACACCCTTAAGGAGTTCATGGCATAGTGACCTTGTAGAACCGTTACTATTTATTTATTTTGGTGTGTCTATTTTGTTTTGAGACAGCATCTCATGTATCCCATACATAATCACTCATAATTTATGAAGTGCTGAGGTTCAAACTAAGGGCTTTGTGTGTGCTAGACAAGAGGTCTTCCAGCCGAGTCACAAGCCCAGCCCTCTCTTAGGACGATGATTAGTGCAACGATCCATCTCAGGCAATACAGTCAGTGGTGCATTCCTCTAGCTATTTTGCCTTTCAGTAGCTGTTTTTCATGCTGCATTTTCATGGAATGTAGTTCTGAACTCAACTGATGATTTAGAGACAGGGTGAGCTTAAATCTATATTTTTGGGGTGTTGGGAATCAAACTTACAGGCCCACAGAAGGTAAGGAAGTTTCCCACCTATAAGCTACATTCCCAGCACTCAAATATGCATTTAAGCTGTTTTTATTTTTTTAACTTTTTATTGATTTTTATTGAGCTATACATTTTTCTCTGCTCTCCTCCCTGTCTCTCCCCTCCCCTTTAACCCTCCCCCAAGGTCCCCATGCAACCAGTTTACTCAGGAGATATTGTCTTTTTCTACTTCTCATGTAGATTAGATCTATGTAAGTCTCTCTTATTGTTCTCATTGTTGTCTAAGTTCTCTGGGATTGTGGTTTGTAGGCTGGTTTTCTTTGCTTAATGTTTAAAAACCACCTATGAGTGAGTGCATGTGATAATTGTCTTTCTGTGTCTGAGTTACCTCACTCAAAATAATGTTTTCTAGCTCCATCCATTTTCTTGCAAAATTCAAGGTGTCGTTATTTTTTTCTGCTGTGTAGTACTCCATTGTGTAAATGTACCACATTTTCCTTATCCATTCTTCAGTTGAGGGGCATTTAGGTTGTTTCCAGGTTCTGGCTATGACAAACAAAGCTGCTATGAACATAGTTGAGCACATGTCCTTGTGGCACAATTGAGCAGCCTTAAGATGTTTTCCATAGAGAGATTTTAACTTCTCACTTTGAAGAAGTGCCACCTTTTGTTTAGAAGCAAGGAATTTAAATTTGGTATAAATTATTTCCAGGCTCGTTACTTGAAATGTAGTCATAGAGAACCACTGGTATCACTTGGGAGTTTATTACAGCTGCAACATCTCTGAATCTTACCCCCACTTCTGTGTTAGAATCTGCTGCGTAACCAAGTACTCAGGTGATGCGTGTATTTAAGTTTGCAAACAAGCCCTTCTAATGAGTATCAAGACAGCATGCTCTGTGAAGGCAAATCCCCATGCCCCAGCAATTCTGAGGGCATTAGAATCAGTGACACTTTGGAACTTAAAAATGTAAATTTTCTGCCATACTCTTGTCTTACTGAGTCAGAAAAAAGTAATGCCTGTAATCCAGCCATCATGTATTAGAAAGAATACTCCACAGGTGAACCTGAGTGAGCCTCTGCTCAGAGGCAGGTCAGTGAGAGGGGTGGAAGTGTGAGGTGTTGAACCTTTGCATTCTGCCTGACACAGGACAACTACGTTCTTATACAGTTACTTCTTTAGTGTGCGGATGATGAGACACAGATATTTTGGGATGTTAGGGAGTTTTTAACAAAGTATACCTTATTGTATAAAATCACTCTGTACACACTGATACAGATTCTGATGCAAGCCAGCCTTCCATTCCTTCCTAATCCCCTGGAGAGGTCTCATGTTGCAGCAGTCATGGGGGGCGCTGTGTGTGTGCTCCCACTGTGCTATGGGACTACAGTGACAGGATTCGCATCACGTTCACTCTGGTTCTTCAACACCTAAATAAAGCGTTACATTTTAGACAATGAACTGATGGTGTATTAGTGGCACGTGTGTGCTGTAAAAGGCACCAGTTAAGTACTCCCAACTGAGGCCATCTATTCCAGCATATAAGGCCTTTCACTCGTTCTGTTTCTCATTTCCTCTGTGGGTTTGATCTTCAGCCTGAGCCATGAAGTCTTTCCTGGGCCTGCGGGGACTCCTTCTGTTTCTTCTCGTCCTGACAACTTTTGCTGATGATTGGTCAGGTATCGCTTGTGACATGGAGAACTGGGATGTCATAACATGTGCTGACAGATGAGGCTTTCTGACTGTTTCAGAAGGATTGGTCTCTTTCATGATGTGAGATGCATCATGTGAGAATCTCACAGTTCTACTGAGAGCAGACACTGTCCTAGCTTCCCCTTTTCTTTTGACCCTTCCCAGATCACATCACATTCTGGGGATTCAGGAAAGTGGAGTGGACTGGAATGCACAAAGATGTTGTTGGACTCTTAAGAACTTGGGACTCGCTTGGGCGTGGTGGTGCAAGCCTTTATTTCTGAGTTCAAGGCCAACTTTATCTACAGAGTGAGTTCCAGAACAGCCAGGGCTACACAGAGAAACCCTGTCTCAAAAAATCCAACAAATGTAAACAAACAAACAAACAAATGATCTCAGGATGCCCTGTGGCTGGTAGGAAAAGGAGCCTTTTCAAGGGCGCAGCCTTCCTTGGCCTTGCCTTTGCACAGCCACAGCACCTGAGAGGGAAAGCCAGCTCCTCGTGGTAAGGTGACTAGTGGGCCCAGTTTCCTTAGTTTGAGTGCCAACAAGTCTCCTACTTTAAGCAAACTTAAGTGGTTGGTTTCCTAAATATGAGTGCAGACTCTTAGTTTGAATGCTTAGAATTACAATAAAAAGTTAGGTATTGTTCTGTTTATTTTCAACAAGATAATCCAGTCTTGATGCTAGGGAAGCTGCAAGACTCTTAGTGTGTTGGTTAATGTCTTTTATTTCTTTTTATTAGGAGCTATTTAAAGGAGACAGCTATATGCAATCATATTAGTATCCACTGCCTCATCATGCAGACTTATTGAATCCACATTGACTTGCTTCCCTTGCATAAATTAGGATCAAAGTGAAATTTCAGTTAGGATGGGAGTCCTTGTGGTATCTGGTCTCCGTGTCTGCCCTCTATCCACATTGAAGCTTACTAATCACTTATTCCTCTGCACGTTTCCTAATTCGACTTCAGCTTTACAGAAGCAGAAATATGTATCTGATGTTTTATTTGTAGTTCATTCTACAGTTTTATTTTGCTCAGGGTTATTCAGAGATATTTTCCCTTCTCTCAGTCCCTTCTTCCACCTCCCTGTTCCCTCAGATCCATTCCTCCTCTGTTTCTCTTTAACAAAAAAGAACAGGCCTCCCAAACATGGCATAACAAGTTGGTTGTAGCGTTCTTGACTAGTGTTTATTGCTATCAACCTCCATGTCTGCTTTTAAATACCACGAAGCTGTGGATATATAAATAAAGGCAAGGGCTAGTACAGAGGAGCATGAGTTGATCAAGAGTGCAGCCATGCTCTGCGCTTCACACAGTTACAATAGAAATGCGTTCCTGTGGCACAGCTGTATAAAATGTTGACCGTGAGGCTGAGCACGACGGTGCCCACCTTTAATCTCAGGACTTGGGAGGCAGAGGCAGGTGGATCTAAGTTCAAAGCCAGCCCGGTCTACTTAGAGTTCCGAGTCGTCCAGAGCTACGTAGTGAGACTTGTCCTAAGAAAAATATTGACTTCTGAGAATGGAATTAAAGGATTAACAATGTCTTAAATTTGTATTGCTCTCCACTTCCTGACAGAGTTACTAAACAATATCTTTGGTAGATAGGAGTGTTTGTGTGTATCTTTGGGATGAAGTCATAGCAGATGGTCAACTTTTACAGACTTGCTTCTCTCTACACCATGTTTTATTTTGTTAAGGGAGAAGCTCTTGCAGTAACTGGCTTTGCTCAAATGTTCTGGCATTCACATACAGCCTGTTAACAGAAATATTCTCCTTTCTACTTCCTAGCCCTTCGTCTGCAATGCACCAATCATTGGTTCTATCTCAGGATTAAGGCCACGCTATTCCACAATGTATTTATGGAACCTGATGAAGTGTATTTAGGATCTATCTGCCCTGTGAGCACCGTCTGGCCAAATGATGTCTATGACTTTACCTACCGTACTTACGCCTGCGGCATTGTCAATAAAGTAAGAAGAAACACTGGTGTCTGTGGTCCCTTCCTTGGACCCACAAAATGGAAATCATAGTTTCCATTTGTCTTACAGCTGGGTTAGTGTCTTTAAAAGTCACATCCAGGAAAACTGATGTTAACTTGATGGTAGGAAGAGACCCGTTTTCAGTGCTCACAAAGTAGTTTCCAAAACTAGTTGCACATTACAGCGCACGGCATTCTAGCCTCAGGTGGAAGGGAGTAACGTTGGTTAAACATCACAAAGGGCCTCAGAGTTCCCTACTGCGGGCATTGACGTGTTTGTTATGCATTGCTGTCTAACATTAACTGGGATTTTTAGTTGATTACAAAAGCAAAAATCAGAAATGCTGTAATATTACTTATTAAAAGACATTGCACAACTTTTACAGGTTGAGGTGAAGGACAGATTTGGTGAGGCAGGAAGAAAATTTTAGGTGGAGCTGTGCATGCAGGATGCAGGGTGTTTATTAGGTGCCCTTGGGAGAATGATTACTGTGTGAAAGGAGCTGGGCTGTGGGGAATTCAGATGTCTGTGGATGGATCCTGCAGGCCGTTTGCAGTCCAGCCAGATAACTGATTAAATGCTTAGTACTGGAACTTCATCAGGGTGGGTTTTCCTTTCTTTTTTTCTTCTGTTCTCTCTCTCTCCTTCATTCCCTCCCTCCTTTTCCCTCCCTCCCTCCCTTCCTTCCTTCCTTCCTTCCTTCCTTCCTTTCTTTCTTCTCCTCCTCCTCCTCCTCCTTCTTCTTCGAAATGATATAGGGACTGGGCTGTATTGATGTATCTCAGCTGATAGCATGCTCATCTAACATGTACAAGGCTCTGTGTTTATTCCTAACACCATAGAAACTTGGCTTGGTGGAGCACACCAGTAACCCTAGTACTGGAGAGGCAGAGGCAGGAAGATCAGGAATTCAAGGCAATCCTAGAGAGTTCAAGGACAGCACAGAATATGAGAGACCCAGTCTCAAAACAAATGTCCTGAGTTCATCATTTAAATGAAATTCTCAGCCATCTGAATTCCAAATGGGTTTCAGCTGATCTGAAAGCTGGTGCTCTCTGAAATAAACAACACTTTATCTTCTACTGTGTTTCTGGAAAGGAGGTGTAAGCCCACGATTTTTAAAAATACAAACAAAAGATTTGATCTCTTTCAATAAACAAGTATGATTTGCCTTTTACATCAGTAGTGTACCAGATTGAACCAGATTGAACCCATCTCTTTAGAAGATGGTCCTCCTCATGAGTGATTAAGTTTTTTTTTTTTTTTTGAGAACTTGAAGTACCTTTGTAGCTCTAGCTCCAATCCCTTGATCTCCTGAGATGTGTGAGATACTTTAAATCTTTCTCTGCCCCTTCAGGTTCTTTATGATGTCACTTTGCTTCAGACACACCTTGCATATATCCCAAAAAACCCTAGTAATAACCGAACTGAGATGCGCCTGTCCTGTGTTCTACACAGGTGAGTACCACATGTGGGGCACCTGTCCAAGGCCCCAGCTTCTCCTCAACCCTCTAGATGAAAGGCCCAAGCCCTAAATGTTAAACCACACATCCCAGGTTGTGGGCGGGTGTCGTGCTGGTGGGAACCAAAACCAGCAGGAATATAAATGTCGATATCCTTGGTCCTGGGCCTTCAAAGTGACGGTTGTCTCCTAGAGCATTAGAATACTGGAGAAGAGAAGGAGATTAATCTACTTCTTTAATATGAGTGTCTGAATGGCTGAAAACCTCACAGATTCCACCCAGTTAATCGAGCCAGGCTGCTTTAAAAAGAAGTCCACATCCAAGTGTAATAAGGACAGAAAGGAAAAGCCTGAAAGATATAGAACTGTGTCAGAGAAATCAAGGCCAGCATGCAGCAGGGGCGGGTGGGGCTGACATCATAGGGAGAGAGGCAGATTAAATCCGACTCATGGGGTGAGATTCAGTATCTTAATCATTAACCATTTGAGAAAGCCTAAGTTATAGCTCATTAGCATCCTTGACCAGGGATTAGCAAAGCCATAATAAGCATGGCAAGGCTGTGGGAGGCAATCTATTAGATTTTTCTGGTTAAAATCATTTAATCATTTTTTAAAGAAATTTAAAATGTGTTTTTCAAATGGTTTTGCACATAAATGTGTCATGAAGTTGGGCTATTGTGTGTTTAGTGGGCAGTCTTCCTGTCATGTTTGAAACCTCTCTCCTTGCCTCACTTTATTAGATCACTTAATATTTTTTTTTCATTTTTTTTTATTATTGAGAAAAGGAAGAAAAAAAAAACAAGTTTCCACCTCCTCCCAGCCTCCCATTTCCCTCCCCTTCCTCCCACCCCTCTCCCCCTCCTCCCATCCTACTCCCCCTCTTCCCACTCCTCCCCCTCCCTCTCCAGTCCAAAGAGCAGTCAGGGTTCCCTGCCCTGTGGTAAGTCCTAGGTCCTCCCCCCTCTGTCCATATCTAGGAAGGTGAACATCCAAACTGGCTAGGCTCCCACAAAGCCAGCACATTGCGTAGGATCAAAACCCCGTGCCATTGTCCTTGGCTTCTCATCAGCCCTCATTGTTTGCCATGTTCAGAGAGTCCAGTTTTAACCCATGCTTTTTCAGTCACAGTCCAGCTGGCCTTGGTGAGCTCCCAGTAGATCAGCTCCACTGTCTCAATGGGTGGGTGTACCCCTCGTGATCTCGACTTCTTTGCTCATGTTCTCCCTCCTTCTGCTCCTCATTGGGACCTTGGGAGCTCAGTCCAGTGCTCCAGTGTGGGTCTCTGTCTCTATCTCCATTCATCATTTTAACCAGCCTATGTTCGCTGCACATAAATATATGTAAATTCAAGTGTCTCATGTACTTTGACCATATTTTCCCCATTACCCTCCATTTCCCTTTTTTACTAATGCCCTTTCTTCACCCAAATACTTCTACTCTCATATCCTATGTGTCTGATTCAGGATCTACATATGAGAGCACATTCAAGATTTGAAAATCACATCATAGGCTTACATTGTTGTAAGAGATTAATTTGAAAAAAATTAATTTTCCCTTCAAGTAATTATTGAAGCCATCCTCCCTGTTCCTTCACACAAAGAATAATACATACCATAGCAACTAACATTTTTTTTTTTTTAAGTTTCTTGAGACAGGGTTTCTCTGTGTAACCACTGTGGCTGTCCTGGAGCTATTAACATTATTAATGCAATGTTTTAATTCTTTGAGAATTGCATACAATATAGTTGTATAATATTCATTACCACTCCTACCCTATCTCCTCCCACCTCTTTACCTATTCCATTACATTGTGTTCTTTTAAAAAAATTAAAAAAAATAATTTATTGACTCCAATTTGTACTATTCATATACTCATGGGTGTGGAGTCATTCACTGGAGTATGATTGACTTACCAGGAGTCAAACCATTAAAAAAACCTGACTCTCCCTCCCCAGTTTCTATTAACTGTTCAAGGCTCCTCCTCAGTTAAGTGGGAAGGCTCACAAGCGTCTTCTCAGTCCATGATATCATGTGCCTTGGCTGATTCTTATGCAGGTCTTGTGACAGTAACCACAGGTACTGTGAACTCACGAGTGCAAAGAACCTGTTATTACTAGAGACGCTCGTCTGGTCCTCCCTGACCTTTGGCTCTTACCATCTTTCCCCACCCTCTTTCTTTATAGTGTGTGTGTGTGTGTGTGTGTGTGTGTGTGTACATGCGCATATGATGGTGATGTAGATGACTCATTTGTGGATGACCACTCTATTGATGATTGTTTTCTGCTCTTGGCCATTAGTGAGTTTCTGTGTTAACCACTGCCCATGACAACTAAGATTTTAAAATCACGTATCCTAGGCTTACATTGTAAGTGGTTCACTTGAGTGAGTGCATCTACGTCACTGGAATTTGGCCTCAAGCGCAGCCTTCTAAACTCTATGGTCGGAATGATTCTTCAGCCCTCTGTGATATTTCTCTTTTCCCCTCTCCCATTTTTAGTCGGTATCCTCTTTTCTGTGAAGCTGAGAGTAAAGGAGACTTCAGTGGCAACCCTCCTGAGTGGGAAGTAGACATGACAGTACGCAAGAAAGATAAGGCTGCTCCTGCAGTGCCGCTAAAGTAAGGAGACCCAGACTCATAGTTTACAGCTTTGTCAGGCATGACTTAAAATACGCCAAGAACACAGCTAAGGGCATATCCCATTTGACTAAAGACATGTTGTCCTTAAACAACTTCTAGATTAGGCCTTTCTATGTTTGTTGAAATTGTTAGTGAGGCTCCAAAGCTGCAGAGAAACCCTGTCTCAAAAAACAAAAAAAAATTGTTAGTGAGATAGTGGTCTTGCTAGCCTGTTCCTAATCAGAGATCCCATAGGAGTTAGAGGTGTCCCTCTTGGGTCTTGTGACAATTGGTCTTACTTAAAGACTGGGGTCTGGGAGACATGCCTCTGGGTGTTGTTTCCAGAGAAGAGTAACTGAGTGGGGATAGAGCTCATCTTCAAAGTGGATGGTATCTATGTTGATATTTACCAATCAGTGGTCCAAGGAAGCAGTGTCACTGGATATCCTTCCTGAATATGTATTTATAGTTGTCACCACTGCCCTCTGATAACATCATATTCTGTCTCTGTAGCTTTTCAACATCAGGTCAAAACACCAACCAGGTGTCGCAGGAGCCTCAGACCTCGGGAACCAGCAGGCATCAGCTTGCTGAGGCATCTAACTGAGTGGATTAGAGTTTTGCCCTCTCCATTTCTCCAGAATGCAGATGGTTGCAGGCTGTCTTCTCTCATCCATTTTTAAAAAGTGACTGATTTGCAGTTTTAAATAAAATGGCATGCTACCTTCATATATTCTCATTTTAAAAAGCTGTCCCTGATTTTAGCTTCATCAAATCTGATTAATCAATAAAAATTTCTATTAAACCTGCTTCTAATTATTGAAGGATTAATGTGTATCATTGTAAGTATAATGATCATAATTTTTTCTTAAGTTTTTTTATACTATAACTTATTTTTTGAGTATTTCACATATGCATACAGTGTATTTCGATCACATTCAGCACCCTATTCTCCCCCTTAACTCCTCTAAGATCCACCCTCTAAGATCCACCCTCAATTCTCCCTACCACCTCCCTGATGGAGGAGTTAATTTCATTGGTTATTAAAGAAACTGCCTTGGCCCATTTGATAGGCCAGCCCTTAGGTGGGTGGAGTAGACAGAACAGAATTCTGGGAGGAAGTGAGGCAATTGCCATGCCTCTCCTTTCTGGGTCAGACGCGATGAAGCTCCAGCCCAAGATGGACATACACTAGAATCTTCCTGGTAAGACACCACCTCGTAGTGCTACACAGATTATTAGATATGGGTTAAAGCAAGATATGAGAGTTAGCCATTAAGAGACTAGTGCTAATGGGCCAAGTAAATGAATTAAATGAATACAATTTGTGTGTTGTTATTTCGGGGCTTAAGCTAGCCAGGCGGCCAGGAGCTGGGCGGCAGGAACGCAGCCCATCACTCCTTCTACACTTCCCAACTTTGTTCTTAAAAAAAAAAAACCTAGGAAGTCTAATTAGTGCTGCCCCTATACTAAGGTGTTGGGCATTCTACTGGAGCATGGTTGACATCCTGGGTGCCACAGCCTTAAAACCTGACTTTTTCTTCCCCAGTGATCATCAGTCAATAGCTGCTCAGTTAGGGGTGGAGCTTCCTGAGCCCCTCCTCCCTACATGCTGGAATGCTGACTGATTTGATGTTAGACAGGTTTTATGTACACATGAACTCAGCAGCTACAACACTCCTGCCATGCCCAGAAGACACTGTCTCTGCCTGGTCCTCCCTGACCATGACACATAGAGAAGACACCAGTGATGACTGACTGGCTCTGTTGGACCCTTCTCTTCAGTTATTGCCATTTGAATGCCGTAAGTGGTGTGGGAACAGTGATCAGATAGCGAGAATGGAGCAGACTGGCGGCTGGACTCTGCATTATCTACCCTTTGGTAATTAGTGTTTTGGTAAGATACTCACATGGTTCAAATGTACATTAGAGTTTAATAAAATGAGCAAATGGTCCAGCCTTCTGCAGGTCAGAAAGACTGGAAATGGGATGCAGAGTTAGTGAGGAAAACACGCAGACTTCTTTTTCTGAGGGATAAAAATTTCTATTTTATTCTTTCTGTTGCTTGCTCTGTTCTTCTACCCTGATGTTTCCCTTCTTACTCCTTTTTGATGTCTTCCTTCTCCACCCTTCCTTCTCCATCCTCCTTGGTGTTTTCCTTCTGACGTCTTTATTTTTCCCCTTACAGCTTATATACTCCAGTAAATTCTTTCAAGCAATATAAAAATTACAGTGTGGTTACATTCTGTTTTTCAAGTGAATGATTACAATGAAAACAAGTAAAAAATGTTTCCCATTTCCCTTACATGATTAAACATTTTACATATTACAGGTGGAAAGCAAACTGTCCCCCAAGAACCAACATAGTTAAATATCTATTTTTTAGACTTCTCATAGATCAGGAGCCTTTAAGCCATAACCATTTACATAGGCAGTTTTTATATTGCCAGAAAACAGGTTACTAGCTTCACTTTTCATATTAACTAACTAGTCCAACTAACTAGCCACCCAATTCTTTGTGTTCTAGTTACATTAAGACAATTGCTTAAAGCTTTGTTTTAGTCATGATGTACACTAAAACCTGTGAACACATTTTCCAATATCAAAAAGAATTTGAGCTAATTCATGGGACTCGATTGCGTTCCTTAATCATTAACCTAAGCCACACAGTCTATATGGCTCCTCAAGAGAAACTTGTAAGTCTGAGCTGCATGACACTTTCTTGTTATTTTCTGTCCTCTGCAACCCCTGCTTTATCAGGAGCAGGGGCAACACTATAGCCTACCTTTACCTATATTAATTTTCCCACTAAACTGACCTCTATCCTAGTCCCTTACTATATTTGTTAAAAACCCCTAATCATCAAAGTTCTATTTAGACTAACACTACTAATGTATAAAATCATTACTTCAGTTAAACAGTACAGCCTAAGAGGAAATCATCTTCATAATAATCCACAGATAAAAATGCCCAGCTTCAGTTGGTGAAGCTCCCTCCACTTCCAGTAAAATCTCATTCACTAAGTAAAAAGCTCATCTGACTTTCCCTCTACTCTGCAGTGTGTTTAGAAACCATAAGAAGGCCAGGTGGATGCTGTCCTCCGGGAATTTCATGGCCATTACCATCCTCAAAATCAGAACAGTGATCACTCCTCAGAGACTGACTAAGGTTGGCCTGTTAGTGTTCCCTTATGGTAGGAGTAGTGGGAGGGGGGCTGGCTCTCAGAGGAGTTTACAGCCACCTACTCCCTCCTCCCCCAGCTGCTGCACCTGGGCCTGCATAATTCCCCATGTTTGCTAATGGACTCAGGAGGTGGAAAGTTAAAAGGAAGATTCATCTACACAGCTTTTGGAGATCACCTAGGGGTGGGACTTTTCTGTGTATAACTGTTTTGGGGCTCACTCATGCATCTGTATGTAACCCTCACCCATGGTCTTGTAAGGAAGTCCTTGGTTAGAAGTTGTTTGGGGCTGGAGAGGTGGTTTGGTGATTAAGAGCCTGGCTGCTCTTTCACAGAACCAGAGTCCAGCTTGATGAACATAAACAAATGCGATACATTTTTGCATAGTTAGATATTCCACAACAAGTGTGTACATGCTAAATTAATAGCATATGCATACAGACTCATTTTTACAGTATGGAATGGAAATGTGTCTTTACTATATATAATATGAAAATGCTCTCTATGTATCCATCCTGTCCACTATCAGTCTCATGGAAGAGCTATCAGTTCAAATGGAGGACTTTAAACACTATGATTTGTTTACCTAACTTCATCTTGTTCATCCTGTCTTAGGGTTTCTAGTGCTGCCTGTATGTGAATGGGTATGGGGGCATTCACAAGAGCCTGAGCATCCTATCTGTGGCCATACTCCTATAACAATGACTTTCCCTCCTCTAGTGTCATCAATTGTCAATAATACTTTAGGTAGGGGTGGAGCCTCATGAGTCTCTCCCCATCCATAATGGAATGTTGGCTGACTTGACCTGCAGCATGCAGATGTATAAGGGAGGATTCCATTCTTAGTTGACAACCATTCTTGGATACCGTGGCAGAATATTTGTTTAAGTGCAAAGCTCTGCTGCATTTGTTTGTTATGGGATATTTGTTTAACTAGGTAAAGATGTGTTGCTGTTTTACCTGTCTGCTTAAGGCACCTGATTGCTCGAATAAAAAGCTGAACAGCTAAAAGCAAGGGAGGAGGTAGGGGAAGACCTTCTGGGAAGGGAGAACAAGTTGGAAGAGGAATTTAGATTTGAGGTAGAAGAAAGAAAAGGAGATGACAGGGAGACACTGGGGGCCATGCAGCAAGACATGGAGGAAGCAGGAAAGTAGGACATACATAATAAAGATCCCCAAGGCAAAAAGTAGATGAATAGAAACAGGTTAAACTAAGTTAAAAGAGGCAGTGGGACAAGCCTTGCTAAGCCTAGCATTCATAATTAATAAGTCCCTGTGCCTTTATTTGGGAGCTGGTTGGCAGCCCAAAATTCCAACTATAGATGATGCCCAGCATGGGGACTGAATTTCCACGTAGGGACTGGGAAAGCTGGAAAAAAAATGAAAAGGTTGCGGCTTCTTTAAGAGGTGCTGCTGGGCAGCAGAGCACTTGAGCAGCCAGGATGCTGAGCAGAAACAGCAAGAGAAGTAAAAACATTTGGCACAGTATGAGTACCAACTTCCTAGAGCTGGGAAGATTAAATGCAACTCCTGGTTAAACACAGCTCTTAGCCTAAGGTGTGGTTCTCACAGCTGAGAAGGGGTGGAGCCAACTGCCAAAGCCACAAGGCAGAGTGCCTACCTGCTGATTAGCAGTTTAAGGGTTGGCTCATGTGGTCAGAGAATGCTACTGATAAACAGTAAAACAGGTCCAGACCAAAACCAAAACCAAACAAACAAAAAAATTAAACAGGTTATAGTGTGCATAGGTGCTTAAGGAAGAAAAGAAAATGGGCATAGACAACCACAGAAAAAAAATAAGTTGAAAAATAATTAAGTAAAGTCTTAAAAGAAATGGTAAAGTAATACTTAAAAAAACCACAGGGAGTCTAGATCCTTATGGTGCTTTGCTGACTTTGAATTTTTTGAATGCTGATGAGCAAACAGCAGCTGCTGAGAGACATGGGATTGTAAAAGAAATTGCTGAGTTAAACCAACCTAGATACTTTAGAGATGTCTTAACTTTAAAATGGAATTCCGAAAATGTATCATGTTGGGAGAGAGGTTATGCTTTTGCTTTCATAGGAAATGAAAGGCTGTGGATTCCTTCAAAATTAATAGAGACCAGATTTTATTGGGGGAGATGCACTGAAAATCTTGGCTACAGACATAAAAAATAAAACTAGAAAAATTTACAAGACAGGTGATGTGTATGCTCATCCCATGACTTGAAAGCAGCTCTGAGACGGAATGAGACATGATAAATCTTGTTGGTTGCAGGGTCATCATGACTCATTATATGCCACCCTTTCATATGCCATGGACAGAGGTTTGGTTATACAGTCCAAACAAACTTATAAAGTTGACAGATGTCTTTTAATGCTCAAGCATAAAACAAAAAACTCACCTTTGACTGGCTTGTGTGCAATGCACAATCTTTCTGTGGCTGGATTCTTCTAGGAAACAATGCAAAAAAAGGATTTCTTTCTGAATAAGGTGGAATATATATAAATACTGTGTGTTTATTCATCTCTATATCATGTTTATCTATACATAATATATGTAGATATATTATATCCAATCTGTATATATCATTCTCTATGAGTGGGCATTTAGGTCATTTCCATATGTTGGCTGATATGAATAATACAGCAAACAACATGAGTGCTGGTATAGTTTTCATATCCACATTTTATTTTTCTGGATTAAGAATAACAAGAGCTAGTTCCAGGACAGGAACCACAAGCTACAGAGAAACCCTATCTCGAAAATCCAAAAAAAAAAAAAAGAATAACCATAAATATCTATCATTTATCTCTATATCATCTATCTATCTATCTATCTATCTATCTATCTATCTATCTATCTATCTATCTATCTATCTATCTGTGGGCTTGCATGGACTATGGCACATACATGGAGTTCAGAGGATAACTTAAGGGAATTGATTCTCTCCTTTCATCATGTAGATCACAATTTGTTAGGCTTGGTGGCAAATCTGTTTATCTGAACTCAGTTTGCTGGCTTGGTGATAAACATGTTTACGCGCTGAGACATTTTGTTGGACTAACATAGTTGACCTAAGAATTTTTCATTATTCTCCCAGATACCACATAATTTTGTACCTACCTGAGTCTTAATAGAGATTTTATCAATCTTGCTATCCAGAAAAAAACTTTTGGTGATTGCAACAGGTATGTGGCTAGGATTAGGTGTCCCAAGAATGTGGTAATATAAATGTTATCTGTAACATCAGCCGTGTGTTCTGGCAAAGTAAAGGCATTTTCTCTTAAGGTACCAAAATGGTCTCTAGCTTCAGGACAGACCTTTTATTTTGTATATGCATCAATTGATGTTTTAAGTAAAAACTAGAGATGCAATTGTACTTTGATGTCTATGTAATTTATGTGTGCTACTTTAATGATGAAACTTTTCTAACGGTTTTGAGGTTTAAGATTGATGTCATTTCCTCTCACACTCCTCCCTGTGGAGTTTCAATGATTCTGCCTGCATTATAGTTTCTTAGCAGTGCTACTTAATCTACTGTGTGTGTTGTTTTCTTTTGCTATAGAAACAGTTTTCTCCTCTGTGGGCCATGTGCATTTTACCCTTTCTGATTACACATAGAAATCAAACCATGAGTTCTGGATGGGGACACAAGTCTATTAACTATGGCACGGTGGCTGCGTGGGTAGTGCATTGCCTTGGAAATCGTCTTTAAC